CCCCAAAATTCCCAATTTCTGTGTGTGTTTCCCCCAAAATTCCCAATTTCTGTGTGTGTTTTCCCCAAAATTCCTGATTTTGGTGTGTTTCTCCCCAAAATTCCCGATTTTGGTGTGTTTGTCTCCCAAAATTCCTGATTTGGGTGTGTTTCTCTCCCAAAATTCCCGATTTTTGGGTGTTTCTCCCCCCAAAATTCCCGATTTGGGTGTGTTTTCCCCCAGAACTGTTCAGCATGTCCCTCAACGCCAAGACCAAGGTGCGGGGGCTGCTGGAGATCATCTCCAACGCCGCCGAGTACGAGAACATCCCCATCCGGCACCACGAGGACAACCTGCTGCGACAGGTACGGGATCCCTGGGATCCATGGGATCCGGGGGATCTGTGGGATCCAGGGGATCTGTGGGATCCAGGGGATCTGTGGGATGGGATCAGTGGGATCCATGGGATTGGGATGGGATCCATGGGATGGGATCCATGGGATGGGATCAATGGGAACATCCCCATCCGGCACCACGAGGACAACCTGCTGCAACAGGTACGGGATCCATGGGATCCGGGGGATCCAGGGGATCTGTGGGATCTGGGATCCGTGGGATCAGTGGGATCTGGGATTCATGGGATGGGATCAATGGGAACATCCCCATCCGGCACCACGAGGACAACCTGCTGTGACAGGTCTGGGATTCGGGATCTGGGATCGGGGTGGGATCCATGGGATGGGATCAATGGGAACATCCCCATCCGGCACCACGAGGACAACCTGCTGCGACAGGTACGGGATCCCTGGGATCCATGGGATCCGGGGGATCTGTGGGATCCAGGGGATCTGTGGGATCCAGGGGATCTGTGGGATGGGATCAGTGGGATCCATGGGATTGGGATGGGATCCATGGGATGGGATCCATGGGATGGGATCAATGGGAACATCCCCATCCGGCACCACGAGGACAACCTGCTGCAACAGGTACGGGATCCATGGGATCCGGGGGATCCAGGGGATCTGTGGGATCTGGGATCCGTGGGATCAGTGGGATCTGGGATTCATGGGATGGGATCAATGGGAACATCCCCATCCGGCACCACAAGGACAACCTGCTGCGACAGGTGCGGGATCCGGGGGATCCGTGGGATCTGGGATCAGGGTGGGATCCACGAGAGCTGTGGGATGGGATCTGTGGGATCCATGGGATGGGATCCATGGGGTGGGATCAATGGGAACATCCCCATCCGGCACCACGAGGACAACCTGCTGCAACACGTCTGGGATTCGGGATCTGGGATTGGGGTGGGATCAGTGGGATGGGATCAGTGGGATGGGATCCATGGGATGGGATCAGTGGGATGGGATCCATGGGATGGGATCAGTGGGATGGGATCCATGGGATGGGATCAGTGGGATGGGATCCATGGGGTGGGATCAGTGGGATCCATGGGATGGGATCCATGGGATGGGATCAATGGGAACATCCCCATCTGGCACCACGAGGACAACCTGCTGCAACAGGTCTGGGATTCGGGATCTGGGATCGGGGTGGGATCCATGGGATGGGATCCATGGGATCCATGGGAACGACGGGATGAACACTCAATCCCAACCCCGTTCACGGAGCCGCTCCGGGCTCTGACCGCTCCCCTCCGTCCCTCCGTCCCCAGCTGTCCCAGAAGGTGCCCCACAAACTGACCAACCCCAAATTCAACGACCCCCACGTCAAGACCAACCTGCTGCTCCAGGCCCACCTGTCCCGCATGCAGCTGAGCGCGGAGCTACAGTCGGACACCGAGGAGATCCTCAGCAAGGTGGGATCAGGAATTCCATCCCAAAACCCTGCTGGGGGCACGGGGAATGCATTCCCGGGATGGGAAATCCAAGGGTTCCCAGGATGGGAAATCCAAGGGTTTCTGGGATGGGAAATCCAAGGGTTCCCGGGATGGGAAATCCAAGGGTTCCCGGGATGGGAAATCCAAGGGTTCCCGGGATGGGAAATCCAAGGGTTCCTGGGATGGGGAATCCAAGGGTTCCTGGGATGGGAAATCCAAGGGTTCCTGGGATGGGGAATCCAAGGGTTTCTGGGATGGGAAATCCAAGGGTTCCCGGGATGGGAAATCCAAGGGTTCCCGGGATGGGAAATCCAAGGGTTCCTGGGATGGGGAATCCAAGGGTTCCCGGGATGGGAAATCCAAGGGTTCCTGGGATGGGGAATCCAAGGGTTCCTGGGATGGGAAATCCAAGGGTTCCTGGGATGGGGAATCCAAGGGTTCCTGGGATGGGGAATCCAAGGGTTCCCGGGATGGGAAATCCAAGGGTTCTCGGTCACGGGAAAATGGGATGGAGTTGGGGATGGGGTGGGATTTGTGGCCAAGGAAAGCGGAGCGGAATGATGAGGTTCTCCAGGAATTCCATCCCCTGGGGTCAGTTCTCCAGGAATTCCATCCCATGGGATCAGTTCTCCAGGAATTCCATCCCATGGGATCAGTTCTCCAGGAATTCCATCCCATGGGATCAGTTCTCCAGGAATTCCATCCCCTGGGTGCAGTTTTCCAGGATTGCTCCATGCTCTTCCATGGGGTCAGCTCTGCAGGAACTGCTCCAGCCTGGGTCCATCCCATGGGGTCCCCATCCCTGTCCGTGTCCCTGTCCGTGTCACTGTCCATGTCCCTGACCACCCCTGACCATGTCCCTGTCCATCCCTGACCACCCTTGTCCATCCCTGACCGTCCCTGACCACCCCTGTCCATCCTGACCATCCCTGTCCATCCCTGACCACCTCTGTCCATCCCTGAGCATCCCTGACCACCCCTGTCCATCCTGACCATCCTGACCATCCCTGTCCCCCCCCTACTCCCTCT